ATATATTTATATATGACAGTGGGGAAATAGATCTATGTGCATGTATTTATAGGTTTAGTATTAAGGTAGCAGATGGACATGGGGCCTCTACTCAAGTACTCCGTCAATACAAGAACACTTTGTTCTATTAAACTGGCATTCGATGATGCCCACCTTCCCGACAAGATCGCTGAAGAAAAAGCAGGTGCATAAGCAAATGTGGTGAAGAAATTTGTTGGTGCCCGGCTATGAAAAGATACAGCCTCTGGGGTCTTAAAGCCTTGAATATAAATAAACGGCCATCTAGCTGAGAAGCAACAAACCCCACATGGAAGAAGCACACCATCCTGTGTGATCATGAGGTGTCCATAGGATCAGGTATCAGGCATCAAAGACCCAGAACAAAAAATCATATCATTGTGAATGAAGGGGAGCACGGAGTGGAGACCCAAAGCCCCTTACAGAAGGGTCGCAGGGAGGAGATGAGCCAGGGTGCAGTATAGTCCCAATGAAACATACAACTTTCCTCTAATTCTTTAATGCTTCCTTCCCCACCCCCACCCCACTATCATGACCCCAACTCTACCTTACAAATACGGCTAGACCAGAGCATGTACATGGGTACAAATAAGAGCTGGAAATGGGGAATCCAGGGCAGATAACCCCCTCAGGAACAATATTGAGAATAGCCATACCAGGAGGGGAAGGGGTAGGTGGGGGGAGAAAGGGGAAACTGATCACAATGATCTACATATAACCTCCTCCCAGGGGAAATGGACAACAGAGTAGTGGGTGAAGGGAGACATTGGACAGTGTAAGACATGAAAAAATAATAATTTATAAATTATCAAGGGTTCATGAGGAAGGGAGGGTAGGGTGGGGAGAAAATTAGAAGCTGATACCAAGGACTCAGGTAGAAAGCAAATGTTTTGAAAATGATGATGGCAACAAATGTACAAATGTGCTTGACACAATTGATGGATGTATGGATTGTAATAAGAGTTGTATGAGCCCCCAATAAAATGATTATAAATGAATGAATGAATGGGTTCCTTAAGTCAATAATTATTCCTTACTCTTTTTGGTTCTCACAGCTCCACTTTTAGCATTCATAGATTATAACACAACTATAAATAGATTCAAATCTTCAACTTCATGACTTACCTCTTCAAAATGTATTATCTATCTCATAGAATTGATATTTTGTCTTGTCATAGCCCAAGTACATATTTCAGTAGCAAACATTTTATCTTTAAATGCAGGTGTGACCTTTGAAAAATGAAACAAATGACTATTACTGTTGTTAGGTCCCATTGAGTCAGTCCTGACTCACAGCCACCCTGTGTATAAGGGAATGAAGCCCTGTCTAATTCTTGCACCATATTTACACACTTTGCTTTGCTTGAGACCATTATTGCAGTCTCCGTGCCAATCGGCCTGGTTGTCTCTTCCTCTTTTTCACTGACCCTTGACAATATTGTCCTGTTGGCCCCTCTTGATAACAAAGGAAGTAACATGTCACCATCTTTGCTTTTAAGGAGTTCCTGGCTATACCTCTTCAAAGACATATCTGTTTATTCTTCTCACAACTCATGAGATATTCAATATTCTTCACCAACCCTACGGGACCCAGAACTGCTGTAACAGAATAGAACTTCACCAACACCATCATTCAAGTGTACTAATTCTTCAGTCATCTTTATTGTCTTGCTTTCACAAGCAAAGTTGAGTCATCTGCATATAGCAGTCACCTTCCTGTCATGAGACCGAGTCTCCTTCAAATAATTAAGCTCTCAGATTACTTGTTTAGCATCAATTTAATAAGTATGGTGAAAGGATACAAGCCTCTCACATACCTTTCCTGATCTTAAACCACACAGTATCCCATTATCCTCTTCAAATCACTACCTTTCGGTTTATGTTCAGGTTCTACATCAACATAATTAACCATAATGGAATTCCCATTCTTCCCAATATTATCCAAATTGTCTTATGATCCACACAATCCAAATGCCTTTGCATAGTCATAGTCAGTAAAACACAGGTAAACATCTGTATAGTCGTCTCTGCTTTCAGCCAGGATTCTCAGGCATCAGCAAGGGTATCTCTTGAGCGCCCCCCCACCCCCAAATCCAGTTTGAATTTCTGATTTCCCTCTTTGTGTACTGCTCTATCGTTTTTTAAAATTTAATCTTCGGGGAAATTGTGTGTGTGTGTGTGTGTGTGTGTGTGTGAGTGTGATAGTAATAGTATTGGTGGATGTTTTTGTTCTCTGTTGGATCAATGTTTTTGATTGGGAAAAAGTCTGGATTTCTTCCAATCATTTGGCCAGGTTTGCTGTCTTCTAGTTTTCTTGACATGGTCCAGGAAGCATTTCCAGTGTTGTATCCATGTGTGGAAACATCGCAGGTCATATTCTGTCAATTCTTGGAGTCTTGTTTTTCACTAATACTTTCAGTGAAGCTTGGGCATCTTCCTTAGCCAGGGTGCAGTGTAGCGATGATGAAACATACAATTTTCCTCTAGTTCTTAAATGCTTCCTTCCCCCAACTATCATGATCCCAATTCTACCTTAAAAATCTGGCTAGACCAGAGGATGTGCACTGGTACAGATAGGAACTGGAAACACAGGGAGTCCAGGACAGATGACCCCCTCAAGACCAGTGGTGAGAGTGGTGATACCGGGAGGGTGGGCTAGAAAGGGGGAACCGATTACAAGGATCTACATATAACCTTCTCGCTGGGGGATGGACAGCGGAGAAGTCGGTGAAGGGGGACACGTTGGACGGTGTAAGATATGACAAAATAATAATAATTTATAAATTATCAAGGGTTCATGGGGGAGGGGGAAGCGGGGAGGGAAGGGAAAAATGAGGAGCAGATACCAGGGGCTCAAGTAGAAAGCAAATGTTTTGAGAATGATGAGGGAAACAAATGTACAAAAGTGCTTGACACAATAGATGGATGTATGGGTTGTGATGAGTAGTACAAAACCATCCCTTCTTAATCATATATTACTTCCTGAAATGACTGAATATCAACCAGTTCTTTTGGGTACAATATTCTGTGTATTCTGTCATCTTCTTTTGATGCATCCTGTGTTGTTCAAAATTTGCACATAGAATCCTTCAGTATTTCAACTAAAGGCTTGAATTTTTTCTTCAGATCTTTCCACTTGAGAGTGTGTTCTCCCTTTTTCACTGGCTGGCTCAATGTGTGCGCGTTTTATTTATAGGGCTTTGCCTTCTTGAGTCTCCCTTGGGAATCTTGTGTTGCTTCATCCTTTCTTCCACTTGCTTCAGCTACTCTATGTCCCAAAGTAAGTTTTCCTGTTTGTTTAGTGACCTTTTGCTTTCTTCATGTATGATATCCTGGATGTTACCTTACAGCTCTGGTCTTCGGACATTATGTTCAATGCAGCAAATCTGTTCTTGAGATAGTCTCTAAATTCATGTCGGACGTACCTAAGGTCTTACTTCAGCGCATTCCTTTTGTTCAGCTTGACTGATGGCATTGAGCTTCTCAAATATAGATGTAGATATATTTGATTTCTAAGTATTATATCCACTGAGGTTTATATGTATAGTCACCATTTAGCGGTTGAAGAAAAGTATTTGCGAGAAAGAAGTTGCTGCTCTTCCAAAAATAACCGTGCAGTATGTCTGGCATCACTACCATTACCAACTCCATCATATTTTTCAAATAACTTTTTTTCCAACTTTCACATTCTAGTCTGCAGTACATATCAATGTATCTTCATGGCATGTTTGATTAATTTCAGAGTACAAATTGGTAACATATTTTAAGTTCATGAGCTGCATGCATATTTTATTTGTATATTTGAATATTTGTGTTTACTTGTTTTTCTTGTAGGCTTATGAATACCATTCTATCCCTGACAGCATTGTTCCTTTTGACGAGTGTGACACAATTTCTCTTCAATTTGTTATTCTCCACATGATAGTGTATAGGATTATCTAATTCAGAATATCCAGTACCCGTGTATTTCAACTTGGTAATGCCTAGAGTATTAGACTTTCTGCATTCTATTTCATTTTTCCTGGATCCATGCTCATACGTTTCAAGGTCCAGTTACTAATGAGTGTGTGTGACTGTTTCTTCTCATTTTGAGTTGTGTCACATCAGCACATCATGAAACTCTATGTTAAGGTGACAGCTCTTCCAGGTTTGTATTTTGAGTGCCTGCCGGCTCATCTGCTGACACTGTATCGGAAAGTATTCAACTGCCGCTCGTAAGGTTTGCAATTGATGATTTTCATAGTGTTAGACCACCAGATGCGCTTTCTTAGTGTGTCTTAGTCTGAAAGTCCCCCTGGAGGCTGCCTATCCTGGATGACCCTGGTGTAGAGACAGGGCGCCGGTGTCACAGCATCACAGCAACTCAAAAACCATGCTGCACAATCAACTGCTGACCAAGTGCTAGTAAAATTATTAATGCCTGCCAATTAAGATAAACCCAGAATGAAGAAATTCTTTAAATTTTTATTTTGTCAGTGTCATTAAGAGTATGAAGAAAAAGGAACATTGAATCAATAAAAGAGAAAAATGTTAAATTTTCTCAAAGTTACTATATTCTGAGCCACTTAATGCTGTCAGCTCCTGTAAAAATTTGCCGTCTCAGAACTCCTACCTAGGGTTTCTTTGAGTTGGTGGGACTCGTTGAGTGTGGGTGTTTGGTTTATGAAGTGAACGATAACACCAGGAAAGTATATTGCTCTTAGAACAATCTACCATTCTAGATATGAAAGGCAGCATTCGCCTAAAGAGGAAGTGCAAAAGACAGGAAGGGATAGGAAAGAAGGGTGCGCCGAAATGGGAAACACAAGGAAGAAGAGGGTCGAGTTCGGTTACATTGTGGGGATTGCACGCAGTGACATGAAACACAGTGTGCCTGAATTTGCTCTGCAGATCTGAACTCCAAGCACAATAAAAAGTCTTTGCAAAATGTGGATAACTCATTTCACTTTTAACTCTTTGCTTTTCTCCCTCTTTGTTGACAGCGTTATCAGCAAAGTGGTTTCAACCCCAGAGGCTAAGACAGCTGCTGCTTCTTTGGGTAGACCGAAGACCCCACCCCCTGCACCAGCCACTGCCCCTGTACCACTGCAGGTGACCCCTCCTCTGGTGCCTTTGTCTCTCCACGCACAGCCTGCTGCATCACCAGCTTTCATTCCATCTCCCTCCCCTGCCTTCTCCGGAGCAGGAAGTTCCAAAGCTCCTGTGCGAAGTGTGGTCACTGAGACGGTCAGCACTTACGTGGTACGTTGCATGTTATGTTTCTCGTACTGAAGAAACAGTTGCTGAGAAGGTTACTCTTTGACCCTGAGAATGCCTTCACTGGAAAAGAAGCATTGTATGTTATTGAGTTGCAGAAGTGATTATTTTCATTGCATTTTCAAGCTTTTGAAAATATCCTAGATGAAAAATTTTTGCTCTAATTTTCTTTTTCATTACAATGTTTAGGTGCTCATCTAAACCAAGTGGAAGTATAGTTTTTCCTTATTGCATATTGTTCTGAAATAGGAGTATGTATGTATAACCTACAGTATCGATGTATAAGATGTAGAGATAAGTATTAGTTACTGTCGAGTCAATTTCTAGTGACATTTTTTTCCAGCAATAGTTAAAGCCCATGTTGAATTTCTTAATCAAGCAATTAGATACTTAAGGTTATAATTTTCCTAATGTATATGCATATGGCCCAGCTAATGTTTCTGAGTCGTCCTCAAAGGCCACAGAAGGAATTACAGTATTCCATTGACTGAGATCCAAAGTGTGCCAGTGCTTGCATATTAATGAAAGTGAAGTTTTGGACCATAGGGCTTCCAGAGTATCCAAGCATGTCTTCAGATTGTAAAACTCTTATGTTGAGTGAATTCCCATTGTCCTGGGTATGTTTTAGGGGTTTGCCTGTACTTAATAATATTAGTCATGTCAAATTGGGCTTCGGCCCCTATTAGCTTATTCTTATTCCAAACCCTGAATTCCTACTTGTAGTGAAGTATTTATGTAAATGTGCTCTTTGGGCATAGAGTGACACACACCAAGATATTTTGGATGCATTGAAGACACCTGGTGTAGCAACATTTCAATGGCTACTATCTCTTGGTCCAGTCTGTATCTGCCCCGCTGTCTTTGTGAATGGACATGTGATGGGGAGAGGCGGAGGAGGGGCTTGGTCTTTATTGTTGTAAACTGGATCAATACTGTATCTCTTTAAAGGAATTTTGGAAGGAAATTTCAACAAGTGATTAAACATTTGCATTATTATAATGACATAATGGCACTCAGCCGTGGGGGGGGACCAAAGCGGGTCATCTGCTCCCGTAAAGATTTACAGCCTCCAACGCCCACAGGGGCAGTTCTCCTTGCCCTGTTGGGATGCCGAGTCAGAACTGACTCAACAGTACACAACAGCAAATGATACAAAGAAGTCTAAGGGGGAAAATGTTAATGTATTAAGAGGGGTTCTATGCAAAGTTAACAAAACATTAAATGGGCCATTCAAGACAAAAATAGAATAAGTGTTACAACTGTGTGATGATCAAGTGAGCATTCAAGGACCAATTGCTGTACGTGTTTAATTGAGGGCACATCACCCCAAGAGGGATTGATCAAGGAAAATTGTGTGCTCAACCTCTCACCCTCCATTTCTGTGTCTGTAGTTAAGGGGTTTGTGTTAGACTAGATGGTCTCTATGGTGTGCTCTAGGACTAAACTTCTGGTGGGTTTTAAACGAATTCTGTGGAAATAGATTAGATTTGCATAGCTGAGTGGACGAAAAACTTTCTCTCTCCTAAAAAGACATTTTGTGGACAGAGTGGAAAGGTCAAGGCTTTAGGGGGAAGGCCTTTGTAGAGCCTCTTCTGTTTAATACTGTGTTGAAAGTGCCTTCCAAAACTCCTTTATTAGCTATCGCCTCAGAGTGTGACTTTGGAAATGTGAGTCAACTTCTCTTGGCGCCGGGGTCCCCATTCGGAACCTATGTCGAGATCGTGCTGTGGCGGTTGTGAGATGGTTGAAAGAACTTAGTCAACCGTGAAGGATGGGCTCTTAGCTCTTCTGGCTGCTGTGGCAATCTCTCGTACAGCACAGTGAGTCGCTGCCTTTCCAAGTCAAGAGAAGCCAGCTACCAGCAAGACCCATCATGCATGGTAGCTTCAGGGCATAGGATGATGGACCAGTCTCAACCACTAGGCAGCTGGCACCATGGCGGCTGGTGCTTGTCTCCCCATGTGACCTTTTCTCTTGACATTACAGAGTCATAGATGTCCACAGATTTCGAAGCCTTCCTGTCCACTTCGTTTGTCTTTGTAGATAGGTTTTTTTTTAATGGCAAACCTTCACATAAATGTGTCTCTAGACTGAACGTATATGGATGCTCTCAATACACTGCTCCCACAAGAAGCCACTTCTTTTTTGCGTCGTCGAGTCGATGCAATACTTAACAGAATAAGGTGGGACTATGATCTTGTAAAATACAACACACTTCATTTGTTATCTTATGTTGAGAATCAGTTTTCGATGGTTGCTGCTTTTAAATGCCTGTCAACCATTTATTTCTTCCCAATTGGTCTTGTTAATTTGGAATTTGAGGCAGTGGTGCTATTAGAGATGTTTCTAGTGTGTTTAACTGGTAACACATGTAATATTTGGAGCAAGCTAATCTTGAAATATGTAGCTGTTTGGCCTCCTGAGCTCCTTGTTTCATTTGCCCTTTAGTTGATTGTACTTTGCTGAAAATGTCATAAAAGGAATGGAAAGTTACTTAGTAACAAGTCTTTTATATCCTTGATCTTATCAGCTGGTTCAGGAGAAGGGTTTGGCTAATCAGTAATAAGGTGATACGTGCACATTTGGCTGTGTATAGAATCTCAGGTCTAGGAATGTGGCTCGGGAGACTACCTATAGTTGAGCTCTATAGCTTCCAAGAATGTTGTAACTGCCATAAAGATAGGAATAATTGTAAGTTTATGTACTTACAGTATTTTTTAGATGAAGAGGCTATATGTCATTTTGTTCACAGAGATGACTATGAAGTGATTTTTGGTTTTTATGATTTACACAAGAGTTTGAAATTGTCAAGCTCCATTAGAAATATCTTAGGACAGAGCATTTTGTCTTACATAATCCCAGAGCCGTGATGACTATGTTCACGACTTCAGTAAACTGAATATTAATCTACTCTATGTTGTTTGTTAAGATTTATAGTATAAAGTATGACTCTTGTTTTGTTTTGCCCTTCTGTGGTTCTTTTCCCTCATTCCCTGTTTTTACTTCTTTCTCCTTGAAAACATCAGATCAGAGACGAGTGGGGCAATCAGATTTGGATCTGCCCTGGATGTAATAAGCCTGATGATGGAAGCCCCATGATTGGCTGTGATGACTGTGATGACTGGTACCACTGGTAAGTGGTTGTGACCGTCCCCGGCTTGATGGATGAGCATTGCTTCATCTTGCCAACTCCAAATTTCTCCCCGAGAAGAGAAATCTTCAGCTGAGTGTGTTTGGACTACCATGATTTTCTCCCAGCTCCATAATTCAGGGACAGTCATAGAACAGTCTCTGAACTCGTGTTCCCGGGGGTGGCACCGGCCTACTTGCTCTTTAGACGGCCCTGCAGAAAACAACCCTAAAGGCAATGTAATTGATGACAAAAGCAAACCTTTTTGGAGGATTGCTATTCAGCTTCAATTTCAAGTACTTTGTTTAGTTTATAGAGCATTCTTGGGGAAAAAAAAACACTATATAAAGAGTTTGGAAGCTACAGTTGTTTCCCTGTCTTTCTAGTACTTTTCTGTTAAGAGCCACAGCAGGTGACAGTAACAAAAGAGCCAGCCCTTTATAAAGTACTGTATGAACAGTCATGCTAAAGACAGCTAGTGCTTGTTCCACACCTCGTAACAGCTCCCCAAAACTAAAGCCACTCTGCTTCTAAGTTCATGTATTTGATCTTTAAAATAGTTGATATAAAAGCATCGAAGCCTTTTCTGTTGTAACATATATCTCTTAGCAGCAGTGGCTGAGAAAAATTACACTGTTTCTCCTGAAAGGATGAATGAATGAATGAATTTCTCCAAGGGGACCTGTCAGAAAGAGAGTGCGTGGTGCAGTGGTGCACATGCCTAACAACACTGCTGCCTAAAGTAGACTCTGATTTCTCGTCAATGTACAATAGATTTCGGAAGTCTTTTTAAATAGAGGAAGGAAAAAATATAGTCACCTACTCTACTGCTACACTCAAGTGTTTTGTTTTTCATGTAGGCCCTGTGTTGGCATAATGGCCGCTCCCCCAGAAGAAATGCAGTGGTTCTGCCCCAAATGTGCCAACAAGAAGAAAGACAAAAAGCACAAAAAGAGGAAGCACCGGGCACACTGATGGCTTCATGGGGCCTGACCCTCAGAGTGTCAGGCCAGGGCTGCTTTCCCCTTGCCGCTGCAGCCGCCGAAGGAGTTGGGACAATTCGCCATCGTTCCCGACCACCAGGTTCTGATGGATAATGAATCTTGGGAGATTGAGAACAAGAACATACTCCCACCCTGGCTGTGTCCCTCCTGCAGCAGACTGGCTCGGGTGGGCTGAATAGTAGTGTGACTGAAGACAAACTCAAGTAGAGGTGTGGCTTACGGAGTGCCACGTCTCCGTTTTCTATTACCAGAGACAAGTATTATTAATAAATGGGGAAAACTCACACATCCTCCCCCTTGATTTCCTCCATCCTCCCCAGGGCCTTTTCATGAAGGTATCAGAGGAGAAGCTAATGTGTCAGCGGCCTGGACTGTCAGTTAAGGATGGCACCATTCGTCTGTATACCGTTTCCATCCCTATCCCATCCCTCTGTACTAAGATAATCATCATAACAGAGAAGAAAACTCCAGTTGGAGTATCAGTAAATATTTTTGTGATGAAAACATATGAAGCTTTCCCTCCCTCATTTTTAGTACTCACCTGCAAAATGTTCAGGCTTTTGTGGGAATACCTTATATTTTTTAAGAAAAGGGTTTCTATCATGTCCTGTTTGGTTTTGTGCAAATTATTGGTGTTTACTATAACATCTTTTATAACTTCGTTGCATCCTAATTTTGTCCTTCTTTAAACTGCTGGAGTTTCTTCTCACTGCTTGTACATTTCATCAACTTGTGTAAAAACTCTTCCGACTAGAAGATTTCCCCTAATGTAAATAATAAATATTTATGAAGCAGCTATTTTAAAAAATTTTTATCGTGTTTAATTCTGGCTTTCTCTGAAATCCACGGTGATTTCAGCCGAGTCTGTACTCACTGCCGTACATAAAGTAAAGCAGGCTAGAAAAGAGCCGCACTTCAAAGTGGTTTGCCTTGAGTTGAACCTGCGCAGTGTCCAAAAAATATTCTGGGGAAAAGGAGCCGAGCAGTTGGAAGGAAAACAGGCAATTTAAATCTGTAGGTTATGATTTCAAATTGCTTTCTTTGTTATCTTATTTTGTTTCTGTAAATTTCTTTGACTTTTATTAAAAGGACATGTAGATTCTAAGAAAGTGAAAAAAAAATAGTAGCATTTTGTGTTTATATTGCTTTACTTCTGAAAATCTGTTCATTGATATTGTGGTTTAAGGCTAAAATGAAGTATATTATGAATTTTTTAAGAAAACGTTTCAAATTTCAGGGTATCACAAAATTTTATTATATTACTATACTGCCCACTATTTATTATATGTTATAGATGTCTGAGAGGTAAACCAAATATTTTATTTTTAATGTAAAGCATCAAATTTAATTTTATTAGCATATTTTAGCAATGTCGGAATACATATGAAATGCTTGCTTGACTTTGAGAGAAGCCCAGTTTGGACTAGTGTGATGGATATCTTGAATGCTAGACTACGGGCTCTGACCCTATTACAGATATGTTCATAGAAACTGTGATTTTTTTTAAAAAGATGCCAAGCAGATTTATATTAGTGTGTGAATTAGTCATATTTTAAAACTGATTGTGTGGTTAGAGAAATGAGGTTGTCTGCCATGAATGCGAATCAGTGGAATTGGAGGAGCCCTCTGAAGAGTGCAGTGTTGGCATTGCTCTCCCTGCCTCGGAGGTCCAAATGTTACTGTCCCTGCAAAAGAAACAAGGCCAGCATATGCGTTAAGATACGTGCGTTTTCTTTTATGAACTTGAGATGGCTCTAAATACTTTCTACAGTATTTTCACATGCACAAATTTACCCATTAGCCCTTTTTTTGGAGAGGGATGGGGGTGGGGGGATTGAAAAATAAAGATTATTGGCTATTTCATAGTTTGCTTTTCCATTTTCTTTCTTTAGGATTTAGTTCCTTGGGGCATGGTCAGCGGATCTAAAGTTGCCACGTTTAAGTGAGCAGGTCATGCTTCTGAAATAAGAATGGAGTGCCTATATCCATATGACTCTCCCTCCAATTCTACTGTCTGAGAGACTTCAGCCCACGCTACATTTACAGAATTTCAATCAGTTTGTTGTCCCTTGCTATTTCATGGTTGCTTTCCTAAATCCAGTTCATGATTTTATAAATGGTCTTTGCAATAATAAAACCAAAGAATCATTTTCAGGGGGCTGGATAGCTCAAGGGATTAGTAATGGAATACAGAGCCTTTCACCTCTAGGTCAGCGAGTTGAATCCAGTCCAGGTCACTAGAAACCAAAAGTTGTTACCATCTTATGAGTGTTCACTGGCCTGTGTGAAATGAACTGTTGGTCTCAGTCTCCAGTGGATAGCTGTCCACAACGCCAGCCAGAGGAAGCGGAAGAAACTGGAGGGGGGGAGAGTGAATTAGCAAGTAAAATACATATTATTATAAAAAGAAGTTTTAAAGTTTGGTCTAGTTCTCCACAAGGTAATAGTTTAAGCCAGAGGGAGGGGGTGGTGAAGCACCCTACAAATACTAAGGACACAACAAAGACAGGAAATTAATTTCCTTCACGAAGTTGAACATCGTAAGAGGGGGCAAAGGCCTGTTTTGGATGAGAGGAGTAAGGTGAATTGGGGAAGATTATGTAGTCAGAAGAACAGCATTCGGGGGTCCAAACAATCAGTGTGGATTTGGCCTCTTGAGGAAGAAGGCAATCAGAAGAAAACGGGGGAATTCGAGGAACTACTGTGGGTCAGAGCACTAGATGCAAAAGAATGGGAAACATGGCTCTTTGAAGGACTAGACGTTTGCCAGTTTGGGACGTAAAGTCGTGAACTGTTTTTAATTTATTCCAACAAGATTATTTGGCCGTAGTGTCAAAACTTTCTCAAGAAAACTAATCAGGGGGGAAAACTCACTCGGGCTAGCAGTGGCCGTCTGGGAAGAGAGGGTCTTTAAGACTCAGAGACACTCAACAGGAAGCTAAGTGAAGGGGCCTTCGTTGCCATGTGTAGCTTGCAGTGTCATTTCGGTGGCTAACAAGGTGTTTCTCTTTGGAAGGTGTCTGCCTTTGAGTACAGTGAGGATCTTTATCCAACGGATTTGTGGTTCCCAATGTCCTGAAGAAAGGAGAAGGCATCCGCGTATTCTGACTTTTGTGTCGGGCTTTTTCAGAGATAAAATAGAATGCTTACTCTACGATAGCACCTCAACCGCCTCTGTTCTCCTTTCAACAGGACAACTAAACACAGACCTACTAACCAAGTTAAGGTATAAAATGAACTTGAGATATGGCAACCTTGCCAGTAAGAATGCTCATGAATGAAGTTCACTAAAGGCTTGCTGGCTAGGTTTCCAATACAAATAGTTGTATGGCCAATCTCTTTAGATCCTAGCAGTCTTCTTTAGAAGTTTAAGCCTAAAAGTAGATAAGTTCCCTTGACGGCAGAATGAAATAGGTAATGTTCTGAATAATGTCTCTTTCCACAATAGTATCAGTCATTCATTCTGTTAGGAAACGATTTCTTTGAGAATCTTGGATTCATTATAGCCTCAAAAGTATAAAGTAACTTAATCCACATATGCAGGCATGTGATAAATGACATCATCATTAGATATCTTGATGGACAGCTAAACAGTTTATTCTTAATTTGACTCAACATATGCATTTAGTTTATATGTGAACTAGCTGTTCGTAGATTAGGGTTTACAATGAAATGTGAGTTCAAAATCCATTCATATATCTGAAGTTTATACATCGATCCCTGGTCCACATTAGAGGCAGCATTATCAACTTGTTGAGAAATCATTTAACGTCCATGAGCCATTTGGTAATTCTAATAATACATGAATGTAGCTAATGGTATAGATTGTAAAGTACTATTGAGAAAAGTGGAATATACATGTATAAGAAAGCCTTTTAGACTAAAATATATGAAGTATTCACTTACAAAAATTAAAAACTTAAGTAACTGAGCACTGTTTAAGAAAGCAATGAAGGTTAGACACAAAAGCACAATTCTCAATAATGTTTTAGTTCATTCACTAAGGCAAAACTGCCTATAGGACGAAGACCTCAAAAAAGCCGAGAACGTCTGAACATAGTGAGCCTAGGGGAATCTGACATTGCCAATTGTTGGGCAATCACAAAAGCAAGAGATTTGAATCAGAGTCCACTCACTTCCATGTTTGGTCTGCTTTTTGATCAATGAAATGTTTTTTACAATGGGACCATCTTAAGCAAAGTAACACAAAACCGAAGAATGCCATCGTTACTGTTTTGATGAGTTAATTATTGTCGAATTAAATGGTTTTAAGGACATGTTCGTGCTAGTTCTATTGAACTCACTTAGAGCTACAGCAGAATTTATCAGAGGAAGGACAAATAGTCCGAGAATATTATTGGGTTATTCTCAGATGATTTCTTATTAAATCCTTTAGAATGTTTATTCAACTTTTTGGCAGTTTTTAGAAAATGCATTCTGTATAAAACTGGATTTCTAGGTAACCAGTCCCCCTCCTTTCCTCTCTGTTAATTTTGCCATGCCATTTACAATAGCCACAAAAACAAGCCCTGGACGTCCTG